GTTGTTGTTGTTGTTATATGCCGTCAAGTCGGACCCGACTCATAGCGACCCCTCCTTGGGTTTCCGAGGCAGTATCACTATGGAAGTAGATTGCCCCATCTTCCTTCTGAGGAGTTGCTGGTGGGTTTGAACTGCCAGCCTTCTGGTTAGCTGTCAAGTGCCTTAGGCAATATGCTATCAGAGCTCCCTAAAAAATATATGAGTGTACAAATGAATGATCATTAAATGAATGTACCTTAGCTACCAGCAAGGTTATTAAATAGAATATTACTAGCATACCAGAAACTTCCTTCATACTCCTAATTTCTTCCTCCACTGTTCAGAATATAATTATATTTTAATGTGTGCGAAATTCATCCATGTTCTTGCATGTAGCAAAAGTTTATTCATTTCCACAGCTACAGAACAGGAGTTGGCAAATAAGATGTTGTTGAAATGCAGCCATGCTCATTTGCTCATTTGTTTACATAACGTCTATGATTGCTTTCCTGCTATAATGGCAGAGGTGAGTAGTTGTGGCAGAGACCGTATGGCACTCAAAGCCTAAAATACTTACTGTCTGATCTTTTACAGATGGATTTGCTAATCCACCTACATGGTATTTTATCTTATGAGTGTCCAATATTCTGATGATAGATAGTGGTGTTGTTTCCAATTTGGGACTATGATAAATAATGATATTATTATGGACATTCTTGTAAATTAATTTGGCATGTATTTGTATCCATTGCTGCATATTATATAATTAAGAGGAGATTTACTGAGTAGGAGGGTATGCTTATGTTTAACTTTAATGGTTACTTCCAAACAGTTTTCCAATGTGATTTTCCCATTTTTCATTCCCACCAGCAGTATCTGAACATTCCCATCAGTCTATGTCCTTGCCCACACTTGCTGTTTTTATCTTTTTCCATTCACTAATTCTCATGGGTGTGGTTTAGTACCACATAGTGATTTTAATTGTGTTTTTGTGATGATTAATACGATTTTTACATATGTATTGGTCATTTGAAATGCCTGTGCAAGTAAGTCTCTTGCCTGTTTTCATACTGAGTTGTCTTTTTCTTGTTTATTTGTAGGCATTATTCTGAAAACTATCTTTTGAAATGTTATGTTGTTGTTATCTACAACCCTGTGGACAACAAAATGTAACACTGTCCAGTCCTGCACCATCCTCACAATCCTTGCTATGCTTGAACCCATCAGTGCAGTCACTGTGTCAGTCCATCTTGTTGAGGATCTTTGCCTTCTTCTCTGACCCTCTACTTTACCAGGCATGATATCCTTCTCCAGGGGATGGTCCCTTTGACAACATGACCAAAATAGGTGAGGCCAAGTCTGGCATTCTTACTTCCAAGGAACATTCTGGCTGTACTCCTCTAGGGACACATTTGTTCATTCTTCTGGCAGCCCATGGTATTTTCTATGTTTTTCACCAACACCACAATTGAAGGGCAACAACTCTTCTTTAATCTTCCTCCTTCATTGTCCAGCTTTCACATGCATATAAGGCAATTGAAAATACCATAACTTGAGTTAGGCATACCATAGTCTTCAATGTGATGTCTTTGCTCTTCAAAACTTTAAAGAGGTCTTTTGCAGCAGATTTTCCCTGAAATAGGATGTCTGATTTCCTGACTGCTGCTTCCATGGGTTTTGATTGTGGGTCCAAGTGAAATGAAATCCTTGACAACTTCAATTTGTTCTTCATTTATCATGTTGTTATTGGTCCAGTTGTGACGGTTTTCATTTTCTTTATGTTGATGTGTAATCAATACTGAAGACTGTAGTCTCTGATCTTCATCAGTTAAGTGCTTCAAGTCATCTTCACTTTCGGAAAGCAAGGTTGTGTTATCTTCATATCACAGGTTGTTAATGAGTCTTACTCCAATCCTGATGCTGTGTTCTTCTTCATATAGTCCAGCTTCTTGGGTTATTTGCCCAGCATACAGATTGAATAAGTATGGTCAAAGGATATAACTCTGACACACACATTTCCTGATTTTAAACCATGCAGTATCCTCTTGTTCTGTTTGAATGACAGGCCTCTTGGTCTAGGTGCAGGTTTATCATGACAATAAGTAAGTGTTCCAAAATTTCCACTCTTCACAATGCTATCCATAATTTGTCATGATCCACATGGTCAAATGCCTTTGTATCATCAATGAAACACTGATCAACATCTTTCTGGTATTTTTGGTTTTCAGCCAAGATCTGTCTAACATCAGCAATGATATATCTCATTCCTCATCTACTTCTGAATCCAGCAAGCATTTCTGACAGTTCCCTGTCAATATACTGCTACAACCATTTTTTAATTATCTTCAGCAAAATTTTACTTGCATGTGATATTAATGATGTTGTTTGATAATTTCCACATTCTGTTGGATCACTTTTCTTTGGAATGGGCACAAATATGGATGCTTCTGGTCAGTTGCCCAGGTAGCTGTCTTCCAAGTTTCTTGGGATAAACTGGTAAGCACCTCCAGCATTGCATCCATTTGTTGAAACATCTCATTGGTTATTCCATCAATCCCTGCAGACTTATTTTTCACCAATTCCTTCAGTGCAGTTTGGACTTCTTCCTTAAATACTATTGGTCCTTGATCATATGCTGCCTCCTGAAATAGTTGGACATCAACCAACTCTTTTTGATGCAGTGACCCTGTGTATTCCTTCCATCTTCTTTTGGTGCTTCCTGCATCTTTCAATATTTTGCCCATAGAATCCTTCAATAATGCAAGTAGAGGATTGAATGTTTTCTTCATTTCTTTCAGCTTGTGAAATGCCAAGTTTGTTCTTCCCTTTTGGTTTTCTAATTCCAGTTCTTTGCACATTTCATTATAGTACTTTACTTTATCATCCTGAGCTGTCCTTCAAATCTTCTGTTAAATTCTTTTATTCCAGCATTTCTTCCATCCGCTTTAGCTAATCTATATTCAAAAGCAAGTTTCTGAGTCTCTTCTGACATCCATATTGGTCTTTATTTCCTTTCTTATATATATTTTTTTTTTACTTTTTTTTTTTTTTTTTACTT